CGCGTGGGTAATTCGTCACGTACGCTGACGGTTTATGGTCTGGTTGCTATGGTTTTTGTGACGTTCAGCATGTAGGGACGCACGTGCGCCTAGAATGTCGATGCCAGAGTTATAACCTTTGATGTCCCGAGATGTGCGTCCTTTTGTTAAATTACCTTGCTTTGTCTCAGGAAACAAATGTACAATAATATACGTACATATAATGTTGAATTGGAATAAAAATTTTAATGGTAAAATTATAATAATAATACATTGTCCCTTTTTTCTACTGTAACTTTTAATAGTGGCTTGAGTGGTTTTCTTGATATGGAGAAACATAAACATACATTTTTATTGTAATTTAGGTGAGAATTTTTTTATACCTTGTTTAGCGAACCTGCGAATTGCAAATATTGATGATTTCGAATAAAAATAAAATTTTTTCTTTGGCTAATTAGCTGCCACAAAAAAAGGAAATTTCAGAAAAAAATATAAGTTTTTCTTTATTTTTATTACGCGCTCCACTGCCTTGAAATCTCCAAAGATAAGATATGTATATTTCTTCCTAATTATATAAATTTGAAGCATTTAACCATCCTATTTCACATTCACCAATAAAATTTTGTTTTCATTTTCTATTCTGTCTGGATGTTTTTGGCGAAACTAGAAAGAAAACAAATTTTTATTTTTATTCCATCCTCCTCCAATGATCTTTAAAAAAATAAGTATGTAAAACAAGTAATAAAAAAAAGTCTCGCCTTAGGTACTTTTGTATACATCAAGCTTACTCATGCATGAAAAGAAACTGTTGCTGGTACAAATGTAATAAAACTCACACAACACATACCAACTCAATAATCATATCAGTAACATATACTGGTAGTACTGTATGCCTACCTCTAGTCTAAGTCAGGTCATTTCAGGTCGTTGTAATATTGTTAATGTAAAGCATAATCTAAACCATCTCTTATATTTTCACTTAGATTAAATATTAAACATCATGGATGAGAATCCAAACCTGAAACGAGACAATGAAAATGAAGATAGTGGGTCACCCAAGAGAATACGACTGCAAGAGGAAACCACTGAGGAATCGGGATCAATCGAGAAATTTCATGATTCGGATCTTGTCACCATAAAGGAAGGTAAGGTTTCCAAATTATTGTGTTGAATTTTTCCTGAATGATCAACAATTTTTGCAACCCAAATTTGGGTCACAATCCATAGTTTGAGAAGCAATGTAAAAAAAATGCACATTTACATATTTGTATTTTTGAATGAATGCTGAGATTTTGCAGTAAAGTAAAACTACATCACATAGATTTTTTGCTATCAAAAACCTCTGGAATCCTTTTGGTGATATAGGTATTAAATATACCATACTTCCTCTACTATAAGCTACCGTTTATACTTGCGTAAAAGGCGGCCCGCATATAAAACGACCCCCGAGTTTGAGAATATTTTTGGATGATTTTTGTATGTCGGGTTTATAAGACGACCCTGTTTCATCGTCGGGATTCCTACTTTTTTTCTGCACCTTATGGTCTTGATACTGCGTTCTGCTGGCTAAAAGCAGAGCCAAATGTCCATCTAGTCTTCCAAATAATACCATATTATGAGTTTTTCAATGTTTATCAAAAGCTTATTTCCCCGTATTTAAAATTGCGTTTATTCATACTAACATTTAATAACTTCATTACATTTGTGTGCTACGAATGACCCGCACATAAGACGAACATGATTTAAGAAATCTAAAATTTGTATGTCATGTTCCCTGTTTTTCGATTGTAATTTGCTATTTTAAGCCTCTTCTTATATGCAAGTATATACAGTACTAGATCAAGAATTTGGTCTGATTTTGGAAGAAAAATGTCCTTTCACAACAAAAATTATGGTTTTTGAAATGGACAGCATTCAGAAGGCAGTTTGTGCCTAATTTAAAGCCAATCTTTGATTTTGTTTTTTGTAAAAGCCAGTAGTATTTAATGACAATTTAAAAAATTTTTTAATTCAATATAAAGAGTCCCTAAGTGCAGAGGAAAATAATGAGAGTGAAGGAAATCTTGTTGGTCTCCGAGAAGCAGATGTTGGAATAGTTGAATACGTCAATGAGGAAGAGGGATTCCAGGGTGTGCTTAAGCAGAGGTAATATAGTAGTAATAGTAATAATAATAATAATAATTTTTCCCGCAAAATCTTTCCCTCTACACTGGAAACTATGCCATTGTTTTTTGGCTTTCCTTCCCCCAGCTAGAACAATGCCGCTGTCTTGGCTTTCTAGCCACGCCCCGCCCTTCTATTCAGACCGTGAATTTTAGCTTTTGTATAGCTTTTCACTGGTAGGCTCAGCCTTTGTTTAGTTTTCAACCAATCAGCAGCAAGTCTCATCACTCAAACATATAAGTATTTCCCTGTTTGAGATCTCTGCAGATATTATTCTCCTGAAGACAATTGAAGCAAGTCAACCGAAACGTCGAGATATTCTCAACCAACAACAACAGTTCTTTTCAGAACTATCTACGTGGTGTACCGCAAGCATTAATTATATAATAATAATGCTATTAATCGTGTTGGGAGCAAGATGGTAAAATTGATGGTACTGTAAACACTATGTGTCCACTAACCATGGACATCTTTGTGTTCCTGGTTGTATTCTGTGGCGTATCTAGGGGGTGAACAGTGAGCACACTCCCCAAAAAAAGCTAGTGTCCCTCCCTTCCTCCCCCCCCCCCCCCCCCCCCCCTCCTTT